CGGACATACAGAACATGATAGACCCCAACACAATAACAGCGGGAGATTTTAGCATTCCACTCTCGAAAGGACAGGTCAACCAAACAAAATTTAACTAAATGACACCATAACCCGTGGATTTAACAGACATCCATAGAGCTTTCCACACAATGACCCAATTCACATTTTTCTTAGCAGCCCATGGAACATTCTCCAAAATTGATCACATCAAAGGACACACAAAGATTCTAAGCAAATACAAGAGAATTGAGAAAAGTCCTATCTGACCACAGTGGAATCAAACTGGTTCTCAATAACAAAACATATTGCAGAAAACACCCAAACCCATGGAGGCTGAATAACACACTACTGAATGACATGAGCCACAGAAGAAATAAAGGAGGAAATTAGAAACACATCATTTCGGAATCTCTGGTATCCAGCAAAAGCAGTGCGAGAGGAAAGTCTATAGCTCTAAGCACACACATAAAGAAAACAGAAACAGCTCAAGTAAATAACCTCATGATGCAACTAAAATTGCTAGACAAACAAGAGCAAGCCAAACCCTAAACTACTAGATGGAGAGAGATGGAAAAGATTAGAGAAGAAATGAATGAAATAGAGACTGAAAAAAACTATACATAAAATCAATGAAACAAAAGGCTGGTTCTTTGAAAAAATTAATAAAATTGACAGATCACTAGCAAAACTGATGAAGAAGAGATGAGATTCAAATCAATAAAACCAGAGATGCCACAGTTAACAACAAACATTCAAGAAACCCAAACAATTGTGAAGAGCTACTTTCAAAATCTATACTCTAGCAGAAATGGACATATTTCTAGAGACATACAAACTGCCTAAGCTGAACTAAGAAGATGTAAACTGGTTGAACAGGCCAATAACACTCAAGGAGATTGAGGAAGTAATTAGAAACCTTCCAACAAGGGAAAGCCCAGGCCCAGATGGATTCACAGCTGAATTCTGTAAGACTTTTAAAGATGAACTAACACCAATACTCCTCAAATTTTCCATGAAAAGGAAATAGAAGGATCAAATCCAAACTCATTCTATGACGCCAATATCACACTCATCCCAAAACCAGGCGAGAATCCAACAAAGAAAGACAACCACAACCAATTTCTCTGATAAACACATATGCAAAGATCCTCAATAACATATTATCCAATAGAAATCAGAAACAAATTTAACAAATCATACATTACGACCAAGTAGGCTTCATCCCACAGTTGCAAGGCTAGTTTAACATATTCAAATCAATAAATGTAATTCACGTCAACAGAGCCAAAGACAAGAACCACATGATTATCTCAGTAGATACAGAAAAAGCCTTCCACAAAATACAAAATCCATTCACATTAAAAGCTCTAGAGAAGCTAGGAATAGAAGGAACATTTCTTAATAAAGGCTATATATGACAGACCAACAGCCAACATCATACTGAATGGGAAAAATTAAAACCATTTCCCCTAAAGTCAGGAACAAGGCAAGGGATGTCCATTCTCTCTCCATGCCTCTTCAGTATAGTTCTGGAATTTCTAACCGGAACAGTAAGGCAAGGAAAAGACATAAAAGGGATTCACATAGGGAAAGAAGTCAAACTATCCCTATTTGCAGACAACATGATCTTATACCAAAAGAACCCAAATGATTCTATTCCAAGCTCCTAGAACTGATCAACTATGGCAATGTATCAGGATACAAAACTGACCCACCAAAACCAGTAGCCTTTCTTTATGCCAATAATATATAAGCAGAAAGGGATATAATGAAAACACCCCATTTGTATTAGCCTAAAAAATGAACAACTTAGGAATAAACCTAACCAAAGATGTAAAATACCTTTATAGTGAAAACTATAAAAATCTAAAGAAAGAAATCAAAGAGGATACAAGGGAATGGAAAGACCTTCCATGTTCATGGATAGGTAGAATCAATATTGTAAAAATGGCCATACTACCAAAATTGACATACAAATTTTATGTGGCTCAAAATCCTAATGAAGTTCTTTATTGAGATTGGAAAAAAATCCAAAAATTCATATGGAACAACAAAAATCCTGAATAGCCAAACCAATGCTAGGCAAAAGGAAGCAATGTGAGTGGTATGACAATACCAGACCTCAAGATCTACCTCAGAACTATAATAACAAAAACAGCTTGGAGTTGGCCCAAAAATAAACCTGAAAATCAATGGAACAGACTAGAAGACCCAGAAAAAACCCCATATACACTTACAGTTATCCGATATTTGATAAGGGAGACAACAACATCCAGGGGAAAAATAACTTCTTCAATAGTTGGTGTTGGGAAAACTGAGCAGCCAGATGCAGAAAACGAAACGTGGACCCCTGCTTGTCACTGTGCATTAATACCAATTCAAAGTGGGTCAGAGGCCTCAATGTCAGACCTGAAACTTAACCACTGCAAACCACTCAGAAAAATATTAGAACTTAGAGGTATAGTTTTTAGTTTCTGATGATTCCTCTTTACCTCATGTATGGTGTTCAAGTGTACATCTTTGGAAGGGTTGGGGGGAGGGTACAGAACTCGAAGGACAAGGGTGAGAAAGTGCAGCAGTAAAGCTCTACACACTGGTCATAGTGAACTCTACAACTCATGGGTGGAGACGGGAGGGAGGGACTGGGAGAGAGTGAGGGAACAGAAGACAATGTACGAAAGGAAATGTACTCGTTATGTAATTGTAATCTCTGTACATCACCTCTATAATAACAATAAAGTAAGTTAAGAAGAAAAAATGGAAAGACGGGAAGAACTTTGCAGGCAACCCAAGTGCTTGTTCGGGTGGACACTTCAAGTGACTCGGCTGTTGCTCTCTGACAAAGTGTCTGGAGGACACAAGTCCTGGGTCAGCAGGGAGGAGTCAGCCGGGAGGGAACCGTGTGAAGAGGCAGGCTGGGTTTGACTTTAGAATCCAACTGGACAAGAAAGCCAGAGAAGGATTCTGTTTGGAGGAGGAGTTAGGAAAACCACGGGCGATAAGAGCCGTAGCTTCCTAAAGAGCGTCCTTAGGAGAGAAGTTAGTAGAAAAGCAGGCAGGTAGGGAATTGTGCCCTATACAATGTGGCAGGACAGGCTGATAAATCAAAACCTGCCTGACAATGAAACAGCGGAAGGAAGGAAGACTGCTACATGAGGACACAGGCGGGAGGAAGTAAGGACTGACCCTGAGGCTTTGGTGCCACAACATTTTAGGCAGCAGCCAGGAAACCCAGCAATCAACCATTTCAAGGACTCCAAGTCTCCCTGTTGAACCCGAGCTCTGAAGCCCCCAGAATGGATGGGATAGGTGGAAGTGTTATCTTCCGTGGTGTGTCCATACCACCGCCCTCTCTGCTGTATTTCTCTTCTCATAAACCTTCCTGTCACCTTGACTAGGTTCACGTCTTTCCTGGAATCTTCTATGGACAGCTATAAAAAACAGAACAGTTCAGCTGCCCTAAATATCTGGTAACACTTATTCTGAAGTGGAGACTAGCAGCCGTGTGTATCAGGGAGTTTCTGGGTGATGATGATGACAAAGATAACACATATGAAGCATTCATGATGCAATGGACACGGCGCGTCACACAAACCATTAGGCTGCAATCTGTCTGCCGAGGTTCCATGCACAGGGATTTCTACAGTCTATGCTCGCATCAGAGACAGAGGCTTAGTGAGGATTTCTAAGAAACTTGCACAAAGCCACTCAGCTCATAAATGACAGAGTTGGCCAAACTCAGATAAGACTTTGGAAGCAATAGAATGATATACATACTATTGTTAAAAGTAGTGTGTGTGTGTGTGTGTGTGTGTGGGTGGGTGCGTGTGTGTGTGGGTGGGTGCATGTGGGTGTGGGTGTGCACGCGCGTGGGCCCACCAGTCCTGAGACTTGAACCCAGAGCCTGGAAGCTGTCCCTAAGCTTTTTTGTTGTTTTTGTTCAAAGCTAGCGCTCTACCATTTGAGTCACAGCTCCACTTCTGGCCTTTTGGTTGCTAAGTGGAGATGAGTCTCATAGACGTTCCTGTCTGGGTTGGCTTTGAACTGTGATCTCCATATCTCAGCTCCCTGAGTAGCTAGGATTACAAGTGTGAGCTACCAGCCCTTGGTGAGTATGTGTTTATTCTAAGATCATAGAAAGTCTTCATTTTAAATGATTAAATACTGACTTTTTTCTATGCCTTGTGTGAGATAGTTCTTGTTTTGTTTTTTTTTTTGTCAGTTGTGGGACCTGAACTCTGGGCCTCGGCACTGTCCCTCTGGAAGAAAGCATTTGTAGCACACACAACCAACAGGGAGGGACATGGCTCCCGTATGAAAAGCTCCTGTAAACGTTCAGCACCACACCTGACAACGCAAAAGAAAAATAGCTTAAAGCACAAAGGGCGAACCCTTAGAACAAGAAGAATGAAGTTACACAAAGTATGTAAGTAAGTAAAACCAATTTATCTAACAAGTTGGTATGTTACTTATAGAACATAGTTGTATTAAAATATGCCTTTTTCTTTGGCTTACTGATAACCTTTCTAGAATGGATCTTGTTTCCCCAAAATGGTTCATTTGGTTTGAATGACACTTGTAATTCATAAATGAAAATTTCTAAGAAAGGAGAAAATTATGTCTAATGGTTTAATCATGAATCTAAAGTTATAATAATCTTGAATCTTTATGAAGTCATTCATTTGTGATTACCATACAACTCTGTAGGTTGAAAAGTGGCACACGGTATACTTACACACATCAATAAAGCTCATCACAAAAGTCTTACAGGAATACTCTACCGTACTGGTATTAGCTGTACTGGAGGACTTGGAGCACTTGGCCTACTCCTCCTGGACCCCATCCACCCTGCACTCAACCCCAGGGAGGAACTCGGCTGACTGTGGCTCTTCCCATGCAGAATTCTTTCCTCATCTAAGGGGTTTTTGAACCTAATTGGTGGCTACTTTTCTTGACTCAGGGGCCCACAAACAAACATGAAGCCGAGCAGCAGAACTGACCTTCAATGATGTGCTTTCTTGACAACCCTCTTTCCGTCTCAGCTCTGCAAAGAGAAAGGAGTTCGTGACTTGACTGAGCTTTTGAAAAAAAATCTGATTCGAAATGCAGAGGAATAATAACTGTCACTTAGTCTGCATTGCTAATTTCCTACCCTGTTCTTGGTGGATTCTGCAGGAGTGGTTGTTGTGTACTCCTTTTCTTCAGTGATGCAAGGATTGTATTGTGTCCACAGCATTATTACCACTCCACTCCAGGTTCACATTACAGTCAGCCGTTTAATCTGCCAAGTACAGCCCAGCCCACACTTCCACCCCCTCAGCGCTTGAAGGAGGTGGAGGAGGTAGAAGGGGAGGAGGAGGAAAAGGAGCTGCTGATGTGAACTCTCCCAAGCAAATTTAACAAAGTCTACAAAGAAACTGAACAACTGTTTTTTCTTGAGAATGTGATGAGCCAAGTTTTTTCTTTGGTTTCCTAAGAAGACAAAACTTTTGAAAATGAACCATACAAGGGAAAACCTGGAGAGAGCAAGTGAGGAGGTGACATTGTTAAAAAGAAATGTTCTCTTTATCTGACTTATGTAACCCTTGTACCTCACTTCTATAATCATAATAAATAAATAAATGAAGACACACTGTGTTGATAGAGACTTTCACCCTCTCAGTTGATTCTCAAGCTCTGGACAATTAGAAAATAACTGTGGTGGTTGCATTTCACAATAGTCATGAATTGCTTCTTTAGCATCAATACTTTGGGAAGACTCTGGTTTTTGTTGTTGTTGTTGTTTAGTTTTTGTCAGTCATGGGCCTTGACTGGGCACTGTCCCTCAGCTCTTCAGCTCAAGGCGAGCACTCTACCACTTGAGCCACAGCACCACTCCTGATTTTCTGGTGGCTCATTGGAGATAAGAGTCTCATGGACTTTCCTGTCCAGGCTGGCTTTGAACTGCTATCTTCAGATCTCAGCCTCCTGAGTAGCTAGGATTACAGGTGTGAGCCACTATCACCTGGATTTTGAGCAGGCTCTTTAGAAACCATAGCTATTCACCTGTGTGAATGTGTCTGTACAAAGTATATTTATGTACTGTATGTACAACAGCACTAGGTAGAGTTCTTGCACATTATTTTGCTTCCAATTGTTTCACTTCCTAGTTCATCATGGGCAAACTTTTGTGTACCATTGCAAACATACCAGCCAATGGTATTATGGGTTATAAGACAAGTAAGAGATACCACCAGGTACCATGCGGTTTGATTTCTGTGGAAATGGCAAAAGGAATTAGAATGCAACTTCTAATGTCATGAATCAAATCACCTTGGGATTAGAGAGTTCCTACAGAACTGGCCCCTCCTGCCTCCTCTTTAAAACAAAACCACATACTCTCTGCCAATTATTGAGGAGTAGACAAGGTTTGGCTTGCTTCTGCTTTCTTTTCTTTTCTTTTTTTTTTTTCAGTTTGCTCAGATTTCAACACTCCTGGAGATTCTCATGAGTAGCGTGGTGCCAACCATTGCTCTGGTATTTGCACTGGCTTGCTGGTTTTCCTAAATTTGTCAGAAAAGGCCAGCCTTCTAGTTCTCGCTGGCTAGCGTAAACACGAGTTCAAACCCTAGCAGTCTGGTCCATCAGAAACCAACTCATCCTGTGAAATTGGTTCTGCATCCCACAGCAGAAAGCAGGCCTCTCTTTCATTTGGCCTGACAGGAGTGGTGTGGGTACAGCTTCCTGCCGTCTCCCCAGGAGATGGTCCTTTTGATCAGCCATCTCCCAGCCCTCTGCAGAAAGGACCAGAGTCTCACAAGTAAAGCCAGACAAGCTATTTTTATCTTTGCATTCCATGGAAGCCTCTGAGCTTTGGCAGATTTGAGTAGCTTTTCTTCCATTCTGATGTTTTAGTTTCTTCCTCTGAAATCTGAACTCTATTTTGGAAATGATTCTAAGTATGACACTGGCATTTGAAAATTCTGTATGAATCACTTAGTAAAAGTGACCGCATGTTTTTTATGCTCTAAATTTCTTTGGGAATCCTAGCCAGATTGCTATTTCTGTAGCATGAGGAGATAAAAGGCAACAACACATAGCTCTCTCTGAGCCAATTAATTTTAACACAACTCAAATGTAAAGTAGTTGTCTAGGAGAGAATAAAAAAGCACCAAGTACTAGTTACTCCCTTCCCGGGAGGGAAAATATAAAATGTGGAACTTACTTTCCGCCCCAGTAGAGTTTGGTTGTTATGACCAGGCTGGACCTCCTGCATACCAAACAGCCACAGAGAAACAGTGAGAACATTGCATACCAAACAGACACAGAGCAACGGTGAGAATATGGTATACTAGATAGACATAGAGAACACAGGCTTGAACTCAGGGCCTGGGCGCTGTCCCTGAACTTCTTTTGCTCAAGGCGAGCACTCTATCACTGGAGCCACAGTGCCACTTCTGGCTTTTTCTGTTTATGTGGTGTTGAGGAACCGAACCCAGGGCCTCATGCATGCTAGGCAGGCACTCTACCACTGAGCCACCTTCTGGGCCCCACCACTGGCTTCTTTGTAACAAGAAACATTTGTTGCACACATCGGCAACCCTGTCCCGCTGGAGTTACTTCTCAGAGAAGCAACTGGAGTGGGCAGAGAGGTCTGGAGATAGGGCACGTGGAGTGCCCAAGGGGCTGACTTTTGCTAGTTAGTCCTCCCACCTTGCATTCTGCACTGCGTGGGGTGGGGGGAGAACATTTTTCACCTTCAACTAAAAGCTGATTGGAAAGCTCTGAAGAAGGAACGCCACTCTCAGTGGTCCAGGGCAGTTGTGTGTAACTGATACTTCACACTCATTCAGTACCACCGCAGACTTGTTTTCCTGCAGTTAGGTTCCCTGCAAGTGTTGGCCATGTAGGGGTACACCCCAACGCTTGTGTTCAAGAGTGGACAGGGCCACGTGCGGTAGAGCATGCTACTGTGACTACCAGGTAGTGCGCCAAGGCCTTTGCACACTTACCACACTTTGTCAGCACGTACTCATGAGTAGTTATGTGGTCTGATTTAGTAGGTGGGGAAATGGAGAGTCAGAGCAGTGAAGCAACCCGCTTCTGTAATACACTAGGAAGTGACTGCCCAGGACAAGCAGCAGGGTGCGTTGCTGGACCAGCTTTCGTGGGTGGGTACAGTGGAACATACTTGTAATCCCAGCTAGTGGCCAAGTAGAGGAGAGTGGAGGAGACACAGGGGGAGGCCAGCTGGGGCATGAAGTGAGCATGGCCCCATCTCAAGAAAATAATCCACTCCGGAGGCCGCAGATAGGAGGATCGCAGCCTGAGGCTGGCCCCTGACACAAGACCCTTCCGAAAAATAACTATTTGGAAAAGGACTGGGAGAGTAGCTCGGTGGTAAAGTAAGGCAAAGTCCCGAGTCCAAGCCCCCAGCACCACAAAGAGAAAGCGCTGTGAAGGCTCCAGGACTAGGAGGACGAGCTCTATGTCTTCAGAGTCCCCGGGCAGGGGGGTGGTGTGAGTGCTCTCAGGCGGGAGGGGAACGGGCTGTTACCCACTGTGACATGGGCCTGTCCTCACCCCTGCCAACGCCACAGCCACCCTCATCACCACTAGTTCGGGGCACAGAAGGTGCTGGATGGGGCAGGGAGGCCCCTTGCATGGTAACGGTAAAGTGCTTTTCTGAGTACCTGAGTGATAGGGCACCACCGTGGGGAAAACAGGTGCTGTTTTCTGAGTACCTGGGTATAGGGGACAGGTGCTGCCTGCCTGTGCTCAGATAAGCTCCCACGTGCTTAGCCCAGTGGCTTCTTGTTTAGTCATTTGTTTACGCCCAGAGTCGTTAATCAAATGAACGGCGGCCGTACACCTCGGTGTGTGGGTATTCCTCTCCCTGAAGCTCGTTTTCCTTCACCTAATTACCACGAACGGCCATGAGAGCTATGAAAATGTCGCCTTCTTTCATGCACAAATATCTCATAAACACTCTCTTTCTCTGGCCAGGCCTGCAGTATTTCACTGTGATCAATGATCAGTCAATAGTATTTGAAGTGCACGTAATGAACGCTGACATTTGTTCTTAAACCACTGTGAATCATTTCTTTACCAAGGATGGATTTTTTGACAGCTCTTTGATTAAGCACATATATTATTTTTTTTTTCTCTTTGGTATACTCAATGGTAATTTTTTAAAAAGCAAACAGGCAAGGTGCCAGTGGCTCACACCTATAATCCTAACCACACAGGAAGCTGAGATCTGAGGATCACAGTTCAAAGCCAGCCTGGGCAGGAAAGTCAGAGAGACTCTTGTCTCCAATTAACCAACAAAACCCAGAAGTGGTGCTGTGGCTCAAGTGGTAGAGCACTAGCCCTGAGCAAAAGAGCAAAAAGACAGCACTTGAGCCCTAAGTTTAAGCCCCAGGACCAGCAACAACAATAACAACAAAGCAGACAGAGGGTAATAGTTGGGGACTGGTGGTACCTCCAGCCTTTCTTCTTGATGATGCTCCCCAGAATTGTCTCGGCCCTGGGGAAGAAGCAGAGAGTGTCTCAGGATGGGCAGCCAGGCCAACCCGAACCCCAGAGCCATTCTTTGCTGGCATCTCAGAGCCCGCATAGCCCGAAATAGAAGCGTTCTCTGTTGGTAGCGCACGCTCCACTGTTTTCTGCTTGTGCCAGCACAATCCTGCTATAGAGCATTCCAGAAGTGCCTGCCAAGTCCTGACAGGCTGGCAGGGGACCGCCTGCGGGCCTGATACTAAGAAACAGCAGAAGCATTTGGCAGTTTGGTGTTTTTCAAACCACCGATCCAGTGTATAAATATCCCGGGGTCCACCGAGCGTCAAGGTATTCTTTCTAACTGTGTGGCCGTGAGGACAGGGGAACGCACACTGTCTGGGCAGAAAACATGGGCTCCGGGGGGATCTGGAGGGAGGATGAGGAACCCATGACAAGACCCAAGGAGGAACTGCAGAGTGCTGTCCTGAGGCCGGGCCATGGAGAGCTCTACTGAAGAGACCTACTCCCCTCCCCTCCTCCTCAGTGGGGGCCCAAGATTGAGGAAAGGGGAACTTCCTTCCCCCGCCCAGGTCCCTGGCAAGACCCCTACTCAGCCCCAGAAGCCCCTGGCTGTCAGAGGCTTCGTGAAGGCTCAGTGCTCTGCCACTCTCCAGCTCGAGGGAGGGTCCCGGCTAACTGTCACATCACGTCAGCAGAAGTCCTGGTGTGTTTGGAGACACAGCCTGGAAGAAGTCATGATGTGGGGTAGCTGTGGCGCGGCCCCCACACAGCCTGGCACCGAGTGCCAGCGCCAGCCTGGTCTTTGGGAGCGCATTCTGCTTTCCACACGCCCTTTCTAACTTGGAGTTCACAGTGGGATGCTCAGTTCCACACTTCCATGGGTCAGCTCAGTAGGATTCAGTGATCGCCCCTCACAGGAGGGGTGTGGATGGGGGCCTCGCAGGGTCCACGCGCTACCGCACTGACAGCCACACAGGGCTGGGTGTGCTGGCCGGGCCGGGTGTGCTGGCCGGGCCGGGTGTGCTAGGGGGACTCAGCTCTCATGACTTCTGCTTTCTTTTCTTGGACTCACAGAAAACAGAAGAGATGTGGGCCCCAGCGTCCCCAGCTATGAACACCTGTCCTTGAAAAGCAGGATAGGGGCAGGGAGGGCTCCCACGGACTCTGTGAGGACCTTGCATGGGCAGGTCTGGCTCCTCTGGCCTCCCTGAGGGACTGAGGGGCCTGGGGCTGGATGTTGATTACAAGCGCGCTCAGCTTAGAGGTTCTTGGGGTTCTCACACCATGGTCCAGATACTTGGCTCCTTCGCTTCAGGAAGCAGACATCCGTGTCCACGCCACAAGGCCAGGACCCTCGGTCTGTTCTCCAGAGCACCCGTGCCCACTGTGACCTGGGCGGTATGGGTGCTGGAGGCCCCAGGGGACACTCCTGTGGGTGAGCTAGCTGCCCACATGGAGCCCCACACCGGAGCTCAGGTCCCAGGAAGGGCATGGTGGGAGGTGACTCCTCTCTGGGCCTCTCTGCCCTTGAGGTGGGCTGTGCAGGGTGCTCTCATGAGAGCTACTGAGTCACCAGCACCGCTGGTCAGCAGGGAGGGCATCCAGCCCTCGGCTGCTCTTCCGGACCTGCAGGTGAGCAGCCAGCTTTGACTCATGTTGGATGCTGTTCATCCATCTGCTTGCTCCCTCCCTCCCTCTGCTCCCAGACCGGTAAACCATCGCCCTGGCCCCCTAGCCCCGCCTCCTTCCCACCCACATCCATTCAGGGACAGTCTGGATGGCCAGAGAGAGCCAGGGTAGGCAGCACATCCAGGGCTAATGGTGGTGATGGAGGGGAGGGGCAGGGCCCTGGTGCCTGAGAAGGCAGCAGCCCTTTCCTAGCAGCCCCTGGAAGAGCCCGGAACATCCCAGGTGTCTTTCCAAGTGGACGCAAACAGGTCGAGACTTACTTTCCAGCGGCATAGACCTCAGCAGTGTCAAAGAGATTGACACCACTCTCGTAGGCAATCGTCATCAGCCGCTCTGCCACCTGCAAGGGGACAGGAAGGTCAGGATGGGGCTGGGGTGTCCCCAGCTTGGGGAGTCACCTGGAAATTTCACTGCAAGACTGGCACTTAGTGAGCCCTCTGCGGGGCCCAGAGGGGCACCGTGGCGTCTCCCATGCTGGACCCACAACGTTCTGTGCCATCTCCTCCCTCAGACAAAGCTCCAGTCCTATACAGCTGCTCACTTCTCCACACTCTTCTCTGTATTGGCAGCTGGATGAGGCCTGACCTGAAAGCTTGTCATTTTATTTTTTTCCTGGCTGCTTAGTGTGGATGCACCATCCCATCAGTCAGAGTCCAGGCTGTTGCAAAACTCCTGCAGCCCAGCCTCCTCACAGAGAGCCTGGATCCACACTGGGTGGAGGCAGCGGGTCACCTGACCACCACGATGGGGTCCTCCCTGCCCAGCCCCCAGACATACCTGAGACCTTGTCCTTAACGCGTGGGGTGGGGGGTAAGGGGGAGAGAGCCATCAACAGACCCCAGCCCTTGCCCTTACTGCATGGGACAGAAGCCAGGGCCGTAGACAACAGCTCAGGGATACAATAAGCAACCGAGTACAGGGAACATGTCTTCTTTCGGCCATCTGATTTATTCCTTGTTGGGCAAATACCCACTTCACAAATAATTACAGTTGGCTTTTTTACTGTGTATATTTTTTAATTAATTTATTTGTTTTGTGAAGGTGGGCTAAAGTTCCCTCATCAGCATTTCCAAGGTAAACTCCTGTTGTTTTGAAAACCAGGAGGCTAACAAGAGTCCATGCGGACAAAGCTAGCTACTCGGTGCTGGGGGGACTGGATTCCACTGTGCATCCACTCAGTACCCCCACCCCCTTACAGTCAGACAAGGTCAGAGGATACAGGGCATTAGCCTTGAGTGATTTCCTCCCTCCCTCCCTCCCTCCCTTTCTTCCTTCCTTCCTTCCTTCTTTCCCTTCTTCCTTTCCTTTCTTCCCTCCCTCCCTCCCTCCTTCCTTCCTTCCTTCCTTCCTTCCTTCCTTCCTTCCTTCCTTCCTTCCCTCCTACCATCCTTCCCTTCTTCCTTCCCTCCCTTTCTTCCCTCCCTCCTTTCTTCCTTCCTTCCCTCCTTCCTTCCCTCCCTCCCTCCTTCCTTCTTTCTTTTCTTCCTTCTTTCTTCCCTCCCTTGTCCCTCTCTCTTACCAGACATTTCCACAGGCATATACAATATACCACCATTGGCCTCACCCTCCGCCTCTCTCTCCCATCTCTTCCCCTTATCAGGAGAGTTGGTTTTCTGTTTCTCTTTTAGTGGGAGAAGAATGAGCTTTATTATCACAAAACCAGCAAGTGGGAAGATGGGGACTTCTTGCTTTTAAAAAGCCATCTTGGCTGGGAATGTGGCTTAGTAGTAGGAGTGCTCACCTAGCATGCATGTGGCCCTGGGTTCAATTTCTCAGTACCACATACACAGAAAAGGCCTGAAGTGGCACTGTGGCTCAAGTGGTAGAGTGCTAACCTTGAGCAAAAGAAGCTCAGGGACAGTGTCCCAGGCCCTGAGTTCAAGCCCCAGGACTGGCAAAAGAAAGGAAGGAAGGAAGAAAAAAAGGAAGGAAGAGAGGGAGGGAGGGAAGAAGGGAGGGAGAGGAGAAGAGGGAGGGAGGGGGGGAAGAAAGGAGAGGGAGGGTCATCTTGCTCATCCAGAGCCTCTGCCGTAGTTTGGGGAGGCATGTGGCAGACTCGCACCACAGAGGTCTGCTGGCTTCGGTCTCTGAGCTCACCGAGGGAAGAACCTTGGGACTCATGCTCGGTGCCTGTCCTCGAGGATTCGTGGTGCTCAGTGCCTGGCATCTCCCTGACGCACGCCTCACAGGTAAGGGTGACAGTGCCCTGAGTCAGGCCCTGACTGGAAGGTGCCCACTGGAGTCCCAGGGCCTTCACTGACTGTAATGACTACCAGAGCCATGGGAGCAAGTCTACCACCTCAGGCCTACGCAATGCATGATGGGTCAACCTCTTCCTTGGAATTCAGGATCAGCACAGTTATTCTAGTTTAAGGAGGACTGAGGCTCACAGACTTGCCCAGTCTGCAGTGACCAATGGTCTGCTCTGCCATGACTGAGAGGATTTCTGTGACTTGAGTTTTTTTTTTTTTTTTTTTTTTTGTGGCCGTGGGGCTTGAACTCTGGGCCTGGGCGTTGTCCCTCAGCTCTTCAGCTCAAGGCGAGCGCTCTACCACTTGAGCTACAGCGCCACTTCCGGTTTTCTGGTGGTTTATTGGAGATAGGAGTTTCACGGTCTCTCCTGCCCGGGCTGGCTTTGAACCGCGATCCTCAGATCTCAGCCTCCTGAGTAGCTAGGATTACAGGCGTGAGCCACCAGCGCCCGGCGTGACTTGAGTTTTTGTGGTGCTAAAAGGGAGAAAATCTCACGTGACCTGAGAGCAGCTGGCCACCCAAGTCACAGCTAAGAATGAATCAGGAAAGCAATCAATCAGCAACAAAAATCTTCTCATAACGTGACAGAAAATTAGTTAATTCCAAATGGTGTCATTGTCTAATTCCAATGGTTTCATCCATTCCCTGCCTCAGGGGCTATAAATAAATAGCCTAAATGTGAAAATGGCAGGAGGGAAGATAGAATTGGGACTGCTCTTCCAGTCAGTCTTACCTGTTTTCGGGATTCAATCCCCCCTGGCCAGAGAGGATCCCTCCCCCCTCCCCTCTCCCCCCCCCCCCCCCCCCCAGCTCTGAGTCTCCCTTCACAGTGGAGACAGGAAGCCACTCACCTCATCTGAAATTTGGCCTCCGAATGTCACCCATGTTCCTGGAAGAGAATGAATATTTACACATTATTCCTAATCTCTTTTCTAACACTGTGTCAATAAGAGGGAACCAAATCTTTTTACACCAGGGCCACCTCAACAGTTGTGCGAGTTCGCAGGGACGCGTGGAGGAGGGCGCACGTGCCCCCTGCTGCTGGCTTCTCCTCCTGCAGTGGACTCCACGAGGGCTCTGCACCCCTCTGGGGGAGGTGGGCGCCACTACCACAGCGGCCCCATCCTGAAGGAAGCTTCTCTCCCTCCGCAGGACCCGGGAGCCAGGGCTACTAAGCCCCTTTGGCTCTTGCCATTCTTGCTTTCACTTAGCTAAAAGCAGCAAGAGCAGGCAAACCACCAAAAGAGCGTGACCTTGGCTTGCCCTTGCCCTCTGCTCTGAGTCTAACCAGACCTTGATTCTGTATCCCCCACTACCCCTCAGAGGGGACCCAGCACTACTCGCAATAGGACACCACGCTGATGCTCTGATTGGCTTCTCCAGAATGGGAGTGGCTGTAGGTCAGGTGAAGGACACGAGGACTGGGAAGACCTGGGGATCGAGGAATGGGCAGAAGCCAAAGATGTGTATGTGCTTCTCTGAGCTACAGAGAGCCTGAGTCTGCACAAGGGCAGCACACCCAGCACCGGGGGCAGCGTCTCCGTGAGGGAAGGCCCACGTCTTCTGTGGTATTTGAGATGTTGAATCCAATAGCAGTTATTTACCACCAGGTGTTTACTTTCATGTTTCTTACGGTAAACTGAACTTGTACCTCTTCTGAAAAATAGCATCGTGCATTTTAAGAAAAAAGAAATAGAAGTGTACTTTCTTTTTGGTAAATGGCAAGAATATTTAAATGAAGACTGTTTGCACAGAAAATTCCCATCCTAAAGGCACCCTAATACAAACACCTGGGTCTTTTATCCAGAAAAGATGGGCTTTGGAAAACGTAATGAACTGAAGCACTGCAGCATTTGTTTTTGAGAGAGAATATGCTAAGGGAGGTGCTCTGAAATTCTGTTGTCTATTTAGTGAAAAAAAAATTGCCTGGGCATTAAAACCTTTAACAGATAACACGTTTATAGTAGAATCTTATCTGAATGCTGCTGGAAGAGGTGTCCACAGCCTACCTAACCTTCTGCAAACATTACATACTCATCAGCTTTTCAGCTCAGCATCCTGAAACATGATTACGCACTTTCAGGACAAGTTAGATTACTGGTGATCTTTGCTATTGCAGCAAGTGGAAAAACAATGTAGCAATTATGTATGAAAAAAAAACAGCATACTATTAACTGTATTTACTTGTAGAATGGTAAGGATTCTGAAGGGATCAAAGAACTTTTGGACAAGAAATTTATGAAAGGCCAAAACATGAGGGAATGGCTTGCCTTGTGTGATGACAAAGGTCTTCAACTGGTTGCCATTAGAAGTCACTGGTTAAAGTGAGTCCCTATTACCCAGAGGGAGGCTGAAGGATGAACAAAGCTGCCATCCAGCGTGGATGGGAGACGGCATGATGTCATAGGGACACTGTTTAATCTCTTACTTTCCTCATTCATCAGGAAGTGCCTTGGGCTAAAGCACTAAAGTGGGCCAAGACATAGATTTAGTAATTATCACCACAAATTAGTTATTCTTCATCTACATCTTCAAGTAAAATCAGGTCATTGTGTGCTTAATGAATTTTCTGGCTTACTTGTGCTGTGATGCAGACCAGGATTTTTTAAAACTCTTTTTTGTTTGTTTTTATTGTAAAAATAGTGTACAGAGGGGTTACAGTTACATGAGTAAATTAATGAGTACATTTCCTATCGAGCATTGTTACCTCCTTTGTTTATCCCCTGCCATCCCTTCCTTCCTCACCTCCCCAACTTCTCCCTCCTAGCCTCCAAGTTGTAAAGTTTGTTTTCAACATAGAGTCTTGTACATCTCATTGTTACAGTGGGTAAACCTGTATCCTTATTTCAGCATTTTAAAAAATCTCCTTTCCCCTCCCCAAATTAGAAAAATGTGTATACAAGATTTAGAGGGCACTGACATCAAATACAGTGAAAACAGGGGATGTACTGTGGGGGAAGCACATACAATAGAAGCAAAAAAAAATCACATAGTACATTTTAAATAAGCTAAAAACAATAGCAAGCAAGAAAAAAAACAGTTGTGTCCCTATCTTGAGGTTCACTTAATATCATCTTTTTTTTCAAATTTTTTATTCTGATTAACTGGTTACATAATTTCCCAAATTTCACAGAATTGTGGGATAGTGACGCTTAGTTAAAGTCACAAACACATTCTAACTTTCATAGGACAAATTGTCTATCATAGTCTATAACATTTATGAGTTCTATGAGCTTTGCAATACAGTTATTTCTTCCACATTGGGTGATATGTACACTTCTTTTGTTTGCATACCATCAACTGTTCCCTCTTTCCCACTTGTTCCCTCCCTCCCATCGCTGCCATTGAGTTGCTTAGTTCATTTTGGTCAATGTCCAGTGCAGCTGATGGGTCTCGCTGTTGTATGCTTTTCCTTGATTCCCTCTAGTTCTGTGTCGTCCTCCTAGTTTCCCTCTGGTGTGTACATATATACCATACATGTGACCAGCAGCATGGGGTTATTTAGTAGTGATTCAACCAGATGAGTGGAAGTCCTTTGTTTCTTAAGTCCTGTGAATTTTGTCGTATCACCTAACATTTTGGATTTAACATCCGCTTATCAGGGAGACCATGTACCGTTTGTCTCTTTGCACTTGACTTACCTCGGTCAACATGATTTCTTCTAGCTCCATCCATTTCCCTGCAAATGCCATTATTTTATCATTTCTAATGGCTGCATAATATTCCATTGTGTATAAATACCACAGTTTTTGGATCCATTCATCTGTGGTGGGACATCTGGGTTGTTTCCATATCCTGGCTATTGTGAACAGCGCTACAAAAAATACGGAGGTGCATGTATACTGGTTCCTGTTGTTCAGGATAGATGCCTAGAAGTGGTATGACTGAGTCATAAGGGAGGTCAATCTTTAGCTTTCTGAGGACCCTCCAGACTGCTTTCCAAAGTGGTTGTATAAGTGTACATTCCCACCAGCAGTGTAATAGGGTTCCTCTTTCTCCGCATCCCCTCCAGCATTTGTCATTGGCTGACTTGAGGATGTGGGCCATTCTGACTGGGGTAAGGTGGTATCTCAGGGTTGTCTTTATTTGCATTTCCTTCACAACCAGGGATGGTGAACATTTCCTCATGTGTTTCTTTGCCATTTTTACCTCTTCTTCTGAGAAGTCTCTCTTTAGTTCCCTTGCCCATTTAGTAATTGGTTTGTTAGGTTTGGGAGGGATTAGTTTCTTGAGTTCCCTGTATATACTGGATATTAACCCCTTGTCTGGTATATTGCTGGTAAATCTTTTCCCCAGTTAGTTGGTTGTCTTTCTAGCTTGGTTGCTATAGCTTTAGTTGTGCAAAACCTTTTTATTTTAAGGTAGTCCCATTTGTCAAGTCTCTCTCCAATTTGTTGTGACCCTGGGACTCTGTTCAGGAAGTTCCTGCCTGTGCCAATAAGTTCAAGTGTCTCTCCTACTCTGTCCTGCAGTAGTTTCAGAGATTCAGGTTTGATGCTAAGGTCTTTAATCCATTTTGAGTTGATGTTGGTGCATGGTTATAGGCTGGGGTCCACTTTTAGTCTTCTGCATGTGGCCGCCCAGTTTTCCCAGCACCAGTGGTTGAAGAGGCTGTGTTTCTTCCACTGTATGTCTTTGGCTTCTTTGCCAAATATCAGCTGACTGTAGGTATGTGGTTTCATTTCTGGATCTTCTATTCTATTCCATTGGTCTTCAGGTCTGTTTTTGTGCTAGTACTATGCTGTCTTTGTTATTATGGTTCTATAGTAGAGTTTGAAGTTCAGCATGGATATCCCTCCCATGTTGTCTTTATTCCCTAGAATTGTTTTGGCTATTCTAGGTCTTTTGTTGTTCCATATGAATTTTTGGACTGTTTTCTGCATTTCAGAGATGTATGTCATTGGGATTTTAATAGGAATTGCATTTAATTTGTATATTAATTTTGGCAGTATTGCCATTTTCTCTATATTAAGTCTGCCTATCCAAGAGCATGGAAGGTCTTTCCATTTCCTAGTGTCTTCTGTAATTTCTTTCTTTAACTTTTTATAGCTTTCATTAAATAGTTCTTTTACATCTTTGGTTAGGTTAATTCCTAAATATTTTATTTTTTGGGAGGTTATTGTGAATGGGGTTGCTCCCTTTATTTCCCTCCTATCTGCTTGTACATTGTCAGTGTACGGGAAGGCGACTGATTTTTGTGGGTTGATTTTCGGACCAGAAAGGAACTGGTCCTGGCTCCACTGAGCAAAGATGGGCCTGGCCCTGATCTTACAGGTGACATCACCACTAATCGGTACCTGTTCAATGGTTTTGTAGGGGGACCGTCACAGATGCAGATGTACTTTTGCTTACAGTGAGGTTATATCCTGCTGAATCTATCATACATTGAAAATAACACAGGCCATCTGCAGTTAATAGACTCAACCTGTCAAACAGCACAGCTTAGTAGCCCTGTCTCTGTAGAGTATGGGATGTATCGTTCACAGCAGCCTGGAGCTGGGCCTCGCTCCTGCTCCCGGCATCACGGGCAGTGCAACCCCGGGGGGAAATCAAAGTTAATGAACGGCGTGTTTGCCCAGCCGTGCATGAGGCTCTGGGTTTGACTCCTAGCACCACAAAAAATGGTTAAAAGCAAAAGATAAAGAAGTAGAGTTTCTACCTGAGTATATTACTTCTATGCCATCATAAAGCCAAAACAATGGAAGTCAGCACATTACAAGTTGGGGATTGTATTTGCACAAATAGAATCTTTTGCTTCTCTTTTTTGTCAGGTAAGCTAAAGAAATTGTTATTAATTATTATGAAGGGGTTTCAGGTCAGCAGGTCAGATTATGAGTATATGTTCTCTCTGCTCTTGACTGGGCTGTGGTTCCTTGCTCACTGTGGCCA